GGGCACGGGGCGGAAGTGAGCCGGGCTCTGTTCACACTGGTTCCCACGGTCGGAGGGTCGGGCCAGCAGGCGGCGGGGGTGCGGGGGCCCCGGGGCTGGGGTGGAAGGGACTGAGGTTGCAGGGGGAGGAGGGAGGAGGGGTCTCCACGCGACAGGTGGCTCGCGACCGACGGCTGCTTCTCCCCCCCTCCCTCCCCCACAGGCCAAGGTCGGGCTGCGCGGGCCCCGCGTGGAGTGGCGGCTGGCGGGGGAGTGGACAGGGTGACAGCTACCCCCCGCCGCACCCGGCGGAGGAGTGGACAGGGTGGGACTATCGGCACCCGCGGGGACAAGGTAGGACCTAGCAGCACGATCCATCGTCTTTCCTAGGAACTAAGACCGCATGGCACCCAGCAGAGTGGACATAGAACAAGACTGCTAGGCAGTGGACAGTGAACAAAGCAGTATTAGCAGGGTCATAAGCGCCATGGTCGCAGGGTGGGACAGTGGGACACACCAAAACCAAAAAGAAGTGAGAAGGTTTATTAATGTTTTCATATCTTTCTTTCGCAGGAAGGGGTGCGTAATACACATCAGTTTCTATGTATTTTAGTGTGCTTACCATTTTTTTACAAAAAGGTCCGTTTGCTAATTTCTGAAAACAATCTACAAGAGTCTTTGCGTTCCGAAACCTTCAGGTAGCCCCCTCGGACGATCGAGATTCCTCAGGAGACTTGAGCGGCAGTGGCAACCTCAGCAGCGGCAGGTGATTGGCGCAGAGGCTGACACCTGCCGCTTCCGGTCCCATCCCTCCACTCCCCCTCCACCTCCACACACTCGGGCTACGCCAGGGCTACGCCTTGCCCGGCCCAGGCAGGACCACCGACCCCAACACCAGATTACGCACAAAGTAAAAGCCTGGCAGGCTGTTGAGTTCCTTCTCTTTTTTCTGCAACTGGCTCTTTCCCCTCACCTCACCTACCTTCAGCCAACCTCCCTTCCTCCTCCTTCTACTCCACCTTCTTCTCCTCCTCGTGATTATCCGCAGCAAAACTCAAACGCGAGAGAGACAGAAGACGAGGGAGACAGAGAGGGAGAGAGAAGGGGAGCAAGAGAGCAAGAGCGAGAGAAATCGTACCGAGTAGGTTTTAAATTACAGCCCCACGGTGTCGATCAGGCTCACGGTTGGGGGGAGGGAGGGGAAGTCTATTTTCGTCTGGGTCAATGAGGGTGAAATAAAAAGAAAAGAGCATCGGGGTAAGAGAACCTCCCGAACCTTCACGCTACGCCGGGGCACGGCCAGGCCGCGCCACGCGAGCAACCACGCCGTGCAGGGGGACCTAATGCGGTGGCAGATCAACAACAACCGCGAGTTTGGTCACCTCGCAGCTGCCTATGGCGCGCTCGTTGGAGGGCGGGGAAGGGCGGGGCAGCAGAGTGACGCCAGGTCCACAGCCCCGACTTGAGCCCGCTCTCCTCCCCCCAAGCAGCCGGTCCGAAAAAAAAATAAACGATTTATAGAGCGGGTATAAAATATGCGGTGCTCACGTGACGTACGGCGGCGGGGCGGGGTGGCTCACGGACTGCAGCCCGGGCCGGGCCGTCGGGCTACTGGTCTTGGATACTGGTCCCCGCCCCGCCCCACCCCGCCCCGCCTCGCCTCGCCCCGACAAGCCCCGCCACGCCCCGCCCTGCAGGTAGGGGCCCCCGATGGGACGGCTTAGATAAGGTTTTAGGCCTCAGCAGAGCAGGCCCTTTACAAATCACGCCCCAGGATACTAATAATATACACTGTTACTTTAAAGGTTTTACCTTGCATATGTGCGTGTACATGGACGCGAGCCCTGTGCGCCTGTGTGTGTGTGCGTGCGTCTACACGTGTATGCGTGTGTGCGTACACGCGGCGTGTACGCCGGTAGCTTGTCTCGTCGACTAAAGCCATTGTTCGGGGAAGTTCATTGAGGCCCCAGCCGGGCTCCGAGCCCCCGCAGCCCCCGCCAGGCCCCCGCCTACATCAGCCAGGCGGTGCAGACGGCCCTACCCCGCCCCGGCTCGCTCCCCGTACATACAAGCACTACTACAAGCACCCAGCGATTGAGGAAAAAATTCTGGCGCCAACACCTCGCGGGCAGGACAGCGCGAGCACGCAGGACACACGTGTGAGGCGGCCGCGGGGCTTGGACGAAAGCGCGGGGTGGGCCCTCCTTGACAGTCCTCGGCAGATCCTTCGCGCCGCGGTGATCTCCCCCCCCCCTCCCCGCCCACCGACTGGACCGCAGCCATACGGGTTTGTGGTCGTTCGTAGAGGAATGTCTGGATCAGAAGGTTTTCTATCTTTTTTATTATTATTATTTCCTACTCGCGCGCAGTGCGTGGCGTGGCTCGGTGTGGAAGGAAATGGACACTTGCGGTGAGAATGGCCGGCTGTAAAATCGTTCAGACGAGTTGTAAATCGCCGCGCACCTTTCTTCGATGACGCGCCGCGCCGCTAACGAGAAGGGTGTGAAGTGGAGGCGCGGGGGGACAGGAAGCTGGCGCGCGGGGCGGCGAGTGGCGTGGATGGGTACCATACTGTATAAGGCCATAAGGTGGACTTTATGGAGGTGAAGTGGGGGCAAGTGGGATTTGGAGAGCTGAAGAGTAACTCGAATGATGTGTAAAGTGGAGTGGGTGAGTGGGCAAGATCGGGCAAAGATGGACTTTGTAGGTGATGTGGGGGTGGTGTAGAAGTGAAGTGGGATTCGGAGAGCTGAAGAGGCTGAAGACACCTCGGATGAAGAATTAAGTGGAAGGCATGATGTCGAACTAAACCGAAGTAAGAGAGTGTGTGTGAGAGAGAGAGAGGGGGGGGGGGCTAGCCATGGAGTGCACAAGGTATTGGATTATGTCCTTCGTCCGGCCTATGGCCCCCTCGTGCCGGGCCGGGGACAAGGATCGCCACTTCACTCGACTTCACGGTTCGGACTGGACTCGGCTGGACATCGTTCCTTATTCTCCCTTTCTTCTTCTTCTTCTTCTTCTTCTTCTTCTTCTTCTTCTTCTTCTTCTTCTTCTTCTTCTTCTTCTTCTTCTTCTTCTTCTTCTCTTTTTTACTGTACGCTACAGCTGCAGCAACAGTAGCGGCGGGCAGCGGTGCACTGCTGGTTCTGGCTGAGTACCATCATGGTACCATTATGACCGGATGTGGCCGTCTGCGGTACAGCCACCTGCTACTGGGCACAGAAAGGCCTTACGCCAGCTCGGGCCAGCGGCGGCCAGCCGACCGGCCTTCCAGGACCAGCGTCGCATCGGATGAATTTCATACGAAACACACCAGAGTTGAGCTATGCAAGCAACTTGTTTAGAGTATGTACTGTACTGGGCACGGGGGACGGTTCCGCAGGAGCTAGAAACTGTCTGCTGGCATCACATTTTGGACTCCGCGTGGATTTCAATTTTGTGTTACGTGCACCGAAAAGAGCTTCTTGTTGGCGCAAAGAGATGTGCTTGTTTTTAGTCAAGCAGAACAGGCCTCTGCTCTTTTGGGTGTCACTCTTAGAATTCTCAACACAATACTGTATCTCCAAAACCCATCTATACACGTCCATTCATAGCCCCCAGAGAACAGCAGAGAGAGAGGGTTGCCGCGGGACCCAAATGTGATTCCCCCGCCCCTCCCCCGCTTTTTCACGGGCCTCGGCAGATCTGATCAGTAAGGTAAGGGTGGTGCAGGACAGGCGCGCGGCCTCTTCGCACAAGCTCCGGGCTCGACGGTTTCCGGCGCTAGGACGACTCGACCTGCCCCGCAAGCTTGCGATTTATTAGAGGAGTTTTGGTAATGGGGAATGTTCCACCTCATTCCGGACGGCCCGCTCCGGCCTGCTCCGCCTCCGGAACGCTCCCGCCCGGGCGCCTCCGGTCCAGGAGGGGCAGCAGCACAAGTCGTGATTGCTTTCGGTAGCTTGGCTCGGGGGAATCGATACTCCCAATTATACGGCAATAAAGCATAAGAAAGAGAGAAAGAGATTGGAAGTGGGGGGTGGGGGGGAGGTGGGAGGGAGGAGGGATTTATTTTGGCGCCACATGAAAAAATAACCAGACAGAGGCAAAGCGCTTACCCGCGTGTGTGTTATTTAGAGACAAAAGATCATGGATAAAACGGGAAAACCAGGAGAAAACGAGCGCAAAAATCACACCAGATATTTCGACAAAATGCGAGTGTTCTAACCGACACACACACGCACACGCGCACACACACAATGTACTACATACATACTTTCGCGTGTATGGATAAATAACGCTTGCAAAATGAGCAGCCCAGGCAGGCAGGCGGACAGGAGAGGGTTTGGGGCAGAGGGGGTTACAGTGGAAAGAAAAATAAAAAGTGGTAAGAGGAGGGAAAAGGTGTGGGGGGGGGGGTAATTGTGGGCCAGGAGGGGAGGGGGGGATGGTGCCTAGGGCGGAGGCACAGCAGCTATCGCAGGGCAGGGCGGCCCCAACGCATAAGTCAGGCCGCTCGATCGTAAGTCAGTCAGGCCCTGCCCCCGGCCTGCCGCCGGCCGCCCCTGCTGCAGCAGGATGCGATGGCCAGCAGGATAGCGAGCCGGCCTAACGAACGCCACCCCCTGCAGGCCTTGTACACCACCTCCACTACCACCACCACCACGACGGCAGTGCAGCGGCGTGGGCCCGCCCATAATGACGAGGACGTCATCCCCCGATTTCCTTGAAGCCCGCAACAAGGACCCGTACCGGGAACAATCATTTTCTCCTGATGTTTTCCACCAGCCACCGGCTTGCCGTGTGCGCTCTCCGCACCAGAGAGGCCCGGGGTGCATGCACTTTCTTCGCCCTCCCTGACCCGAGGAATTCATCGGAAGCCTCGACGCGGCGGGAGTTTCCATGCGGACGACAGTGCTCGGGAGAATGGTATTAACGTACTACGTGGATGTAACTACTCACCTCCCAGTGGCTGAAGACGAGCTGCGGACTGGCCAGGCCAGAGGTCTGCTTGCGGATCTCAGGGGCAAAGTCGAAGCTCTCGACGACGGGCAGGACCGCCGTCACGTTGAACGTGGCCCCGGAGCCCTCGGCCATGTCGCCGGCCAGGACGCGGCCGTGGCGCCGGCTCAGCACGCCGTACATGCGGCCTACAACACAGATTGCAAAGTTCTTAGTCAAGGGGAAAAGGATGCGCATATTGCACACGTGCAGCGGCCACACTGAAAAAGAACAATACATTGCACCAAGGACATTTTCATCAGCTCGAAATGTTGGCGGGCCTGACGACATTTAGTGACTGGGTCCAAAACATTTCGTTGTCAAACCGTATCCTGGCAAGGTACAACAGAGTGCAGAGGGCGACCGCGGAGATGTCGGTGCGGCAGGCTGTCGCGAGTCGCGAACTCTCAGCCGGACCAGCAGTATTATCGCTAGCTGGGGGCGCACAGGTTGACCCTTTTGGGCTGATCGGGGCCTATGACTGGGTGACCCGAGAACAACGGGTGGCTCCAGTTCACTAGGAACAGGCAAGCGGTCGTGATAACCCTAGCCGAAGTTCAAAACTGTGTAGTGCTTGGTCTTACGGTTAAGTAAGTGTTCTTGGGCGACCTTCATTCTACATGTCGTTGGGCCAAAGGACGGTGTCGAACGGTAAGCAACAAAATGTTCTTTCTTTAAGGCCGAACCAGGAACAAATTTTATGGCTTTCTAAAATGGATTGACTACATAGAAATACGCGGCGTCACTGTGAAAAATAGTCGTAAGGGTTACAGGAAAATTTTCCATGGTGAAAGTCGTAAAATTACAATTTAAATTGTAAATTGAAAAAGTAAATTTTTAAGCACTCCCTATCGACTTAGAATTGACCGACGAGCATGAATGGGATGTTGTAAATTTACGACTCATGTTGTAAATCAAAATTACAACAAATGTCGTAAATTTACGAGGATATTTTTCACAGTGGTCGCGCAGAGAAGGAACCGAAGGAACGCACTCTGTCACATTTGAGGGTCCCGCCAAGGAAGGCAGACCACTGCATTCCCCGCGGTCACCCCCCCCCCTCCTTTCTCGCGCCACTTGCTGACCGAAATGTTGGCGTTGTTGGCGCCCCGACCCGAGGAGGACCGCGGCTGCTGACGTAAGCGATAGGATCGGACCTATGCACCTGCTCGGAGATCAATCAATTAGACGCGATCCGATGTGAACCGGTATCCAGGGCTCGTAGCGGAGGCCTCTTTGGAGGCTTCTTTGGACGGTAAGGTACAGCAAAATGTGAATTTCGACAACTTGTTGAATAAAACAACCTTTTTGATTGATGCATCTTGTGGTCTTTAAAAATCACTGGTAAAACAAAGGTAGGATATCCTACCTTTAAAAGGCGTTAAAGCTCCAAAGGCATTACAATTTATGTTTTTTCGAAATATTTCTTATCCATAGGACAGAATTGGATTCTGAAACCTATTTTCGTAATCTACGCGAAATTCCGCGTCAAACGAGCCTACATATGATGGGGTTCTGTTTAAAAATGGCATAGATTGATTTCAATTTTTGTACTTTTTGACTTGCTTTTCATTTGCTGGCCGCTTATCTGAACCCTATTACATGTAGGCTCGTTAGACGCGGAATTTTGCGAGGAATGCGATAGTTAATCTCAAAATGTGATTGGCTTGCTCCTATAGAAAATATTCTGAAGAAACTGAAAATATACTCTGTAGCACCCCAAAAACGAGTTTAACGCCCCTGGAAAGGTAGGATATCACACCTTTGTTTTTCCAGTGATGGCCTTGAAGTTTTGAATGGAGTTATAGAAATTTTATGGGTGAAAAGTGGTGAAAAGTCAAAAAAAGTGATTTTTTCAATTCAAGCCTTTCAGTTGCAGTTGTGTGTGTGTGTGTGTGTGTGTGTGTGTGTGAAAATCTTCCCGGAATGCAATCTACTATCCGTAAAAAGCATCCGAAGATGTGCCACGCCCTCGGCCACGTCGTTCTTTCCTCTGGTTATACTGTACTGGATGCAGGCGTGCGGCCGTAAGGCGCCTAGGTGAGCGACGATAGGCAAGCCCGCCCGCACGCATGCATCCGGTACAGTATGACCAAAGGAAAGAACGCGGAGCTGACGGACTCGTGACATAAATTCTTTCCCGTCAGTCCAAAAAAAGTTTTGGTAGACAAGGGCTTATATTCCCTTGTAGAACACTTTACAGCCCGAGCCGATCGATCGATATATCGATATCTCAAAAAGTGACATATCGCCGTACCTTAATGGCCGGGGCGCGGCCGGGCAGCAAACAGGACGCGTTTCCGCAAAATCAGAATCGCTGGAAAGCTGCCATATCGACCGCGCGTGCAGTGGCTGGGCGAAATGTCAGCAGACTGAGTACTGTACGTACAGCCCGGTGCAAGAGACCACGCCGCGCACAGCGGCACACCTACGAGTCGGTCATCGCGGACTGTACACAACACGTGGTGAATGCAGACAGCGACTAGAAGAAAGAGGAGCTGAGCTGGAGGCTTTACCATGATGGACAGCCCACGAACTGCCGTGACCCTGCCATACTGGACTGCCATGGACCAGCAGCGAGCCCTTGGCCCCGGACCAGCCCCTGTGGGCAGCCGTGGACCAGCGCGCCGCGCCCACCGCGCCCGCCGCACCGGGGTGTCAAAACACCGCCTCGCCCCGGGCCCTTCGCCTCCTTGCGAATAGCAACTCAATTAATGAAGCAAATGAATCACTGGGGAGCGGTGACGGCCGGACAAGATTTAGTGGGCCGACGCCGCCCAGCCCCGCCCTGCCCCGCCGCGCCTCGCGGCGAAAAACCCAACAGCCTGCCGCGCTGCGCTGCCCTCGAGCCGAAGCGACCTGACCGCGATAGCTACGCCACAAGAATTCCTTCTACACTCCTCCTCCGGTCAAGTCCGCTTCTCTGAAATATCACGCGGATGGCTACTCATTCAGGAAATTCCGATTCAACTTGCTAGAAAAGCGGTCGGCCCGGGTGGGTGGGGCAGCGCGGTGGGCATCCGCGGGGCCCGTCACGCCCCGCCACGCCCCGCCGCGAGGTCTCAGGACCGGCCATGAAATATGGGACCGCGATCGAGCCGGCCCGTCCTACCGCAACGGGTTCCCTATGACGGGGGTGGAAGGTGGAAGCGTGGGCAGGGAGGGAGCCCGCCCGTCCTACCGCAATGGGTCCCCCGACTGTGTGACCCGGGGGTGCGAGGACTCGTCGGCGTCCTCCCCCTCGCTCGTCCCCGGCCCCGTCGTGCCCCGTCGTGCCCGCGCCGCGGCCCCTCGCCGCGCCACCTCCACGGCCCGACGGGGGCGCGCGCTTCGAGTACTGGTACCTGGTAGGCGACGCGCACGCCCCTACTACGCTCCGCCACGCCCCGCCAACCGGCAACCAGGCACTGCCCCCACTCCTTCCCCTCGGCGGGGCGGGGTGGCCGAGAGGGGGGCAGGGGGCTCCACTCCGCTCCATTCATGAAGAAAAGTTG